TGCCGCTGTCCCTTCACTGTCACCTTCTTCAACTTTCCCACAATCAACCAATCAGTTCGCTGGGGCCGTCAACGTGCAAGACTACCAAGTTGTGTATGATAACGCAATATAGTTGGATACATTTCAACAGTTTAACAGACAGTTACGGCAATAAATCACGTAGTGATAATAAGATACAACAATAATAAGTGATAATGACATAAACATACAAAACAGCAATTGAGTAAATCTTAACAAATAAAAAAAACTAAGACCATCAAAATGATTATCAGATCCTTTTTTTAAAGATATTTTGCTAAATAAACGGCATCATATTGCTGTAAACAATCACGATGTATAAAACTGTATTCTGCAAATTCAAAAAAGTATCCGTTCACTTCGTACGAAAATAGATAGAAATTTGCCTTTCCCAACACCTGAAAGCTTGCGGAAACATTCAAAAATCGAGCTTGAGACAAAATAACAAATATTTGTCAGCAAACCAACAGGCGCACTTCTTGCTATCAGCTTTTTATAAAAGAAAAACTGAGACAAAAATTCTATTTGTTGAGGGACTTAGCTGAAAAATGGTAAAGCAAACCCTGAGAAGTCCGGCGACTCCAATAACGTCGGCGTGAATTTCGACCAAAATTTGGCATACTGCAATACCTTTCAATATATAGGGTAGAACGTAGTGTTCAGCACCTGCACAGTAAATCTTTGTTAATACCAGGAAAGCATTACTTGTAAAAATCATAAAGTACGAAGAAATTTGTTAGAATGTCATCTCATTTTTACATGGTCTCTGATAGCAGGTTTTAAGCTTTAAAAGCATCACTTTTTAAGGTTTCAAGTGTTCAAAAAATTTTACCAATTGTCTCTTGTGAGTAAAAGAGGCAATGCAAAAGTTTGGATCTCAAATTCATTTAGTTTTGAACAATTATGAGCAATCATTCAATCATTTTCGCACATTGATATCGAAGTCTTAGACAGAGTCTGGTTTTCCTTAAACTGATTTCTAAAAACAGGTGATATTCTTTGAGAAAAATTATGTGAAATTTGCTCTACATTTCTTCCGTATTTCTCGTTCGCTGTTTGGCTTTACCAATATTTTTGGTTTCCCTCTTTTCTTCCTTTGCGAATGAATGAGGCTTGGCTCTAATAAAACACTTGAATTCTTTACTTAAGCACAGCTGGGAATACAACTTGATTACTAATGAGAGCACAAATCTGAGCATTTGACAATGTTTCCTTTCCAGTGAGATTAAAGAAAGTCAAAAATAATGTTTTTTTAAGAAACAGACCATTTCTTCCACTAACGCTCAGAATAAAAAATTAAACGTTTCAGCAGAAAGTGATTCCTATTAAAGGAAGCGTCGTAAAAAATGTGGCAGAACCCGAACATTGCTACGGCCAATTATAACGAATAGAAGAATTTTTTTAGAATTTCTTAGCTCTGATAAGCGGAAATACCTTCAATGTCCATTTTTAAAATTTCAATTTTCTTATCGCCGTTTCTTTTCGCCAAAGTTAGTAAATTGTATTGGTCGTATCTTCGATCCTCTCTGACTCCAATCACAGCCTTCTTGAAATCTGCATTATTTTTAAGCAACTTACGAAGAACTGGCTGCCTCTGATGAAACTGCAATAGCAAAAATTGTACTTTTTTAGTCAAGCAGGTCTCTGAAATTCTGCTGCTACGTGGTTAAATAACGCACTAGCCTTGTCAAAAGCATGAAGCCTACAACTTCTGTTGGTTACTGTTTGAAGAGCAACATCGAAACTAATCTCGTTGTTAATTCCTAGGGAGTACACACTGCAGTTTTGCTTTGGAATTTTCCAAGGATTACAGATCCATTTCCCACCGTCGTGAATATTCCCAAGTCTAACCTTTAGTGGGCAGAGAGCCTGAAACTCGAATGACCAACAACTTGATTTCGCTAAATAATTCATTGTATAAAACTTGTAAATTGCTAATCTAAGGGTTTCAGATATCAGGAACGCTCTTCCACATTCTGGTTTAAAATTTCGCCCAGTTTTAAAAACTGTAAAAGAAATAAGTTTTGAAGAGTGGCTTCAGTAGATCAGAACAGCGAGAAAAAGCAGTATCTATACACAGCATGTTTTCCGAGAAAAAGAACATAATTATTTTTCACCAACTGAATAGTTGCTTCAACTTTCAATCAGACTTTCTTTCTGAACTGAAAATCCATTGTAACAATTAAGATGTCATTAAAGATAACAAGCAGCAGGGTTTCAAACAGCAAAATAATGTATACGATGTTTTAAAACTGCCCAGCTATATTCACTTACTTCTGAAAAGTGATTGCAGAGGAATATAATAACTAAATGGTTACACTTTATTTCAAAATTTAGAAGAAAACTATTTTTTTCAATTTACTTCTGGAACCAAAGTGTTGTACAAAAGCCCACGCAATGCTGTTCTGTTCCCAAGTTTGAACAAGATATTGCGTACGAACGATCGCCTTTTAGGGGCCTGCAATAGAAACGTTTTTGAAAAATTTGCGTATAATTTGGTATCGTTTGTAACCCTGAGTTCTACAGGCTCTCTCCAATGTAACGATAGCAGACTGAGACGAACGAATATCAGTCCAACAACAACTGCCAACCCTTTGCCATTGCCAAGCATTATATTCTGAAGAAAGTAGTCGTGTCAAAAAACGGTCTTTATTTTAAGAACTTTTTAAATCTTTTTCTTAATTTTTTTAAAATCATTTAAAATAGTTAAGTGATGAGCCAAGTAGCAATAAAAATGGTAACAATACTAATAATAGTATAATGATAATAATAGGAACAATAATAATAATAATAGGGTATTAGTTATTGGTATTACTGTTATTATAATATCATTGATATAATAATAATAATAATAATAATAATAATAATAATAATGGTATTAGTTATTGGTATTACTGTTATTATAATATCATTGATAATAATAATAATAATAATAATAATAATAATAATAATAATTGAAACAAGGAAGACAGAGATAATAATAACATTAATAAAAATGTTAATAACAGTAATGGTACTAGTACTGATATTAATACTGCCAATGATACTGATACTGATGCTGATACTGATGCTGATACTAATACTAATACTTATACTGATAATAACGATAACAATATTAATAACATCAGTTCTCAGCAAAAGTGTACAATTTCAAACTCAATTACGCATTCACTGTCTTAATTTTTTGACTGCCCCTACTTTACAGTTTTTTAGAAGCAGAAAACAAACAGCAGTTATACAATCCGAATTCTGTCGTTCAATTTAGCCTGACAGATAAAAGTAGTCCCAGAATATAAATGACTTGAGTTACAAAAAATGGCTTTTTGGCTGCATTAAAATTTAAAATTTTTATTCAGTATTTTACAGCTTTAGTTAGGCCTGGTAGAAAAAATTTGGAATTTCATCGTGTAAACTTTTTAACGCAGTCGGTACCGCCATACGCACTTCTTTAAAAAACGATTCATTTTCAAATATTCCTTTTAAACCAAAAAGTGTTTTCCAAAAAACTTTTGATTTTCTTTTCAAATTTTGCTCAGAGTTTTCAGAGAAACGATAATTCACATAGCAAAATTTGATGAGAAACAAGCATAGTCCGAACCACAAATACATGAAACATCCCATGCCAAGTGGCAAATTTTTTCCCTTAATAACCCAAATTTTTTTAAAATTTTCCTCACTAGCAGTGTTTCCGCCCGTACACGAGAAGCCGATAAAAAGCTTGAAAAAGTAAATTTTCTGCCCAGTTACATCCCCTCAAAGTAACAAAATTATCAGATTGCCGCCTGACACGCTTACCTTTCTAGACTTTTAATTTAGGTAATCTGGTAGTTTCGGCTAAGGTACCCAGGCTGCATTCTGAGTAGTCATAATTAGATAGTCTATACCTGGGCTTATGAACATATCTACTTGCTATACACAACAAAAGTTTTTTTTTAAACAAAATTTGACAATTTTCAGTTCTTTAGATTTGTTCTTTAGATCTTTTAAACGCATATTTATTACTTGAATTTTATTAAAAAACCACATAAATATAATAAACATAAAATTTCAAACAAAAATTAAAAAGAAAAAAAGAAATTTCAAATTTTTTAAAAAAGACACATTTTGTACAGAATTTTTTTCCCCTACCATATTAAAACATTGAGATAGCGATTTTTCGGTATTGAGAGTCACGAGGCAGAATGAGGTGCAAACCAGAAATAACTCACTATTCTTACAGTAATCATATATAATTTTTAGACTAGTTCGATACAACTCTGCAGGATAATAATCTTCTTATATTACTGAAGCAAATTAAAACTTTTCTAACAAACTTTTAGTATGCTGGGTATTTGTAGCTGTCGGCTGCGGCCTGCAGAAGCGGCTCTGTATAATTTCTCCACGGTAAAATACATAGAATTATTGTGAAAATGACAGATTTTCTTTTCAGGTACTAATTTCATCTCTTCTCATACCTCTCGATACTAGAAAATCGCTATTTCAAATTTTTGATATATTGTAGAGCAAAAAATTTTACACAGAATGTATCTTTTTTGAAGAATTTTAAATTTTGGATTTTTTTAATGTTTGTTTGAAATTATATTTTCACTGTATTCAAATGAGTTTCTAATAAAATTAAAACAGTAAATAAGCACTTGAAGAATTATGATTGGGAAACCTAATAAGCAAAAAGTTCTCAAGTTCTGAGAAAAAAGAGTAAATTAGAGGTCTGCAAAAATAGGCAGGCATCTCAGGCGAGAACCTGATAAATTTTGCAACGTTGAGGGAGGTGTAATTTGGCGGAGTGTTTACTTTTCTAACCTTTTTTTCGGGATTCTGTATAGCCGCGTAAACTCTACCAATCAGCGAGATTAAAAAAAAATCTGTGACATGAAATGGAAAAGGCGAACCACTTGGCATTAAACAACTCGTTTATATTTTGCATTCAAAAGTCTGAAACGTGATCTAAAAAAAGCAAATATATAAGTAATTCCACGTCACATTACGCTCATGTCTCATTTCAGTTCTCAAAAGTTTTTTAGACTCAGACAACTTGTGAAGCAACATCATAGAATGTGAGCTGTCGGCAAAGTTTGACACTTGTGAAGTACGCAAAGACAATGCTCAGTTCATTCTTGATTTAATCATTGCAAGGACCTCTAAATTTGTGCAATAACAACGTATTTTTAAAATTTCTTTTCAAATTTTGTTTTTGATAGACACGAGAGAGTAATGTACTATAGGCCTGCAAAGTCTAATAGGAGAACTTTAGAAACGTCATAAAGGAAGAATTTGTAGATTAAAGTTTTAGAGAGAAAACTTTTTCTGGTGAAGTGATTTTCACACGACTGTTTGAATTAGAAAGCGATACCTAGTGGTACCGAGAATTACAATGTTTGAGATGGCCATAAGCTACAAGAAATCTTCACTTGTGGCACTATTTCTTTGCCTCCGTAAGTGCCTGGAGGTCGGCTGAAACTGGAGTATTATTGTACTGGAAGAAGTTTCAACTTGGCTACTTCAATAACAGGTCCGTATCAAAAAATTTCTGCTATTCAGTGAATTCAAAGAAATTTATCATAACAAACATTTGTCAAACTTCTGTTGCTCTTCTTTTATCAAACTCGCTTGTCCCAAAAATTTTCTAGACAACGA